ATTTTCAAATCAATTGGCAAAGGAAGAAAAAAAGCACAAACGTGAAATAAGGAGAAGAGAATAAATCAGTAATGTGGAAACCAGCTAAGAGGCAGGCTGAATGGCATTTCTAGCTTGAATATCTGCCGTTCAAGCTAAGTAACTGTATCAGAGGTTATTTTTCCTGAAACACCTATGTAACTTAGGATCCAGTATGAGCTTTAGCTCACAGGAATCCCGGTCTTCCTGAACAACAGGGTTGAAGTTTTTAAGTGCCTTTGACTTTTAATAAAGAGATTTTAACCTCTCAGATGTGTGCTTTTGAAAATGCTTTTCAGGCTTTTTTTTTTTTTCTGAAAATTTGCATTTGTATTCATCTTCCATTATATTAAAAGGAGATAAAAATATAATCTGTGGATAGCAGAATTCCCTGGGAAAAACCGAAAAGAGCCCCATGCCAGTGATGCGTAAGGGAATACTGCCAACAAAAAGAAGCAGTCTTTTTTTAGGCTGGAGTTTTTACAGGACTATTGCTTTTAGGCTTTGTTCTGTTTTTTTTTTCTGTGTGGTTTTTTTATCTCCTGCAGACAAGAGGTCTCATACAGCCCCTCTGAAGGAAGACTATTGTAAACTGTGAAATGCTCTCTTCCTTCCTCCGGAGATTCCACTGGCAAAGTGATTCTGGTAAAGTTTTCCCCTCTCAGCTTCAGAACTTTGGCCAAGGATGAACACTTACCAGTAGGAAGCTCATAAAATGACTTGAAAAAGTGAATCTCCAGGAAAAGATGTAGGATTTTCTGCCTCCTGGCTCCAGACAGGATATAAACTGTTCTGGAGTTGTCTTCATTTTTCAGTGTATACAATTCTAACAACTGATCGATGTTGGGGTTTTGTTTTTTTGCAGGGGGGAAGCCTGTCCTATCAAAACTCATTATCATTAGCTTGTATTAGGAGAATGTTTGCAGAACCTCTGTGAAATTATGCCCTGCTGGATGATGTACTCTGCAGGTGCATTGAAAATATCGGGCTGTGTTAGGAGGGTTTACAACTTGAACACAGACAGAGAAAGGTTGACAGACAGGAAATGTTTTCCCTCCCAATTTACAGATGAGCAGCTGAGCCTAAAGAAATAGCAGTCCTGATCTGATACTACCTGGAAGTCTCTGGAAGTGTGGTTGTTCTGAGTAAGGCTGGCCCAGGCTTGGGCTTGCAGAATGAATCTGTGACATCGCCAAGAGTTACACTCAACTTTTCAGAGTTTCTTGATGGTTTGTTTGAGTTTCTAGCTTTGCTAGTTGACAACTGCTAGAAAGTGTTCCTCTTCCTACAAATACTCAGTATGATGTTTTTAATCCTCACTCTATTTGGTAACTGACTTTGAAGTGCTTTTAGGAGTTTGTTGCAATTTCTAGTAAACTCTCATATTTTCATAGTAACTGAGGCTGTTTTAAAATATACTCTTTATCCTCTTTTCTGTTATGGATTCCTTTGATGGGCAGATATAGTAAGGTATGGCTACTTGACAATTATTTTTTGTGAAAAAATTGGGAATTGATACCAGCTGAGATCTTAGCTTTGAGGCCAGGAGCTACTGATTTTTATTCTGTAAGAACAGGCTGAGGCTCCTGTGTGGACTGTATAAGCTATAACTATGCTCTCCAGATATGAATAGGGTGCTATCCAATGTCCTCCTATCGCTGACAACCCTTGTTGATTTCTTTGAATGTTGAGCCTTGTTAAACCTCACCCATAATAGTGAATCCTTATGTCTGGGATACCAGTTTGGCAACTGGACTGTCTGGTGGAGTCTCCACAGTAAATGCCTGAGTGGACATAGAGCAAGGGGTGGGGTGACATGGCTGATCAGGGCACAGAGGAACAATACAACTTTGTGTCGACCAGGGTTGGGAGTGCTGGGGAATGCGGGCTCTGACAAGCTTCTAGTGTTGTGCCTTTGCACAGGGTTGACAACCAAGCTAATGTGTCTATTACTCGTGATGCCCGTTCCCTACTTATAGCCCTCAACGGTACTTGTGAGACCTGTAACGGAGGTGAGGATACTTGAGTGAGAATATCCCACGCTACTGTTGCACATAGAGCGCTAAGTCACTCATCACTGAAGTGGCATACATGTGAAGGTGCGCATGAGGATCTAGGAGTGGAGTGTAATGGGGCAGCTGGAAGACTATTGTGCAAGGAGTCAGCTATCCTTATGCTTACTGCCTTCTCATGTATGCAGGTGCACTCTGTATATCCTGTGACTGCTGACCAACACGCTATAGCAAAATGTCCATGATTTCTCAGGCATGTGTCTCCATACCATGGACACCATGGGACTGCTCTCTGCAGTAGTATAATTCATCAGTGTATACACAATAAACGTGCATGATCTCAGTATGAGACTAGTGTATTGTCTTCTTCACCTGAAATATTATATGCACCTGTTCAGGAATTCTAACTCTGAGGTAAGGATATTGGAGCATATTGTCCAAGGGACTTTTCAAAGCTAAGTCCACGTTTCAAGCTTGATTGCTACAAGTCACTAATGAATCTGTATTGTGAGCAAGACTCTAGAATAGAGTACTAGCAATCCCAGGGCTGGCGTACCTTACCACAGAGGAGAACTCTGCGCAGCATGCTGTGATCCACAAGGAAAGGCTTGTCCAATGCTGCGGTTTTTATCTTTTACTCAAACTTTGTTAACCAGCTTTGAGTGTCGGTGCCTTTTTTACTGAGATCCCAAAAGGACTGTTGTCTCCTTGGTGCAAAACATTATGCTTGGTGAAAAGTTGGAATCTGCTTATTCATGCAGCTAGCTCAAACTAACTGTCTTGCTCCTTCCTGATATCCTGGAATTGTGTATTTCTGTCAGTAAAACTATGTAATGCAGCGCTTGGCAGTTTGTCAGCACAGTGTGTCTTTGTGACAGGGTTGATTTGGCAAGGGAAACCATCAGGCTTAATGTGTGGGAGGGCCAGATTCTGGGATTTTCCAAGATACTTTTTTCCACGTGGAATTTCCCATCTTGTGGAGGACAGGCCAGTTGAGAGAATAAAAGGCAGTAGTGAAGGCAGGGGATTACACAGTCCAGACACTTGGAGCTGAACTTAATCTTCAAGTCCATATTCAGCAACTTAGCAACAGAAAGCAGTCACTGAGAAATATCGCAGAGGACTTTTGCCACCTGGCCACCACGACTGCAACCTGTGAGTATGATTGGAATGCGTTATTCTGTTTCATTGCTCAGCTAAAGGAAAACTGGAATTCTGTGTTGGTGTTCTTCAAAAGCTGTTTATATTTAAAAGATATCTTGATATCAAGAACTGTTTTAAAAGTAAGAATTTCCTAAAAATGGAAATCTTATTTAAGTCTTTAGAATAATGGTGAAAAAGTACGTAGAAACGATTGCATTGACAGTATTTTATATTGAATTGTAAAAAGTCAGTATTTGTTCTTTACAAATGTGTTCCTTTGATCTTTCCTAGCTGTCTACTTAAAAGATAAAGAGAAGAGAAAGTCTCGGAAACATGATTTGCTTGGGGTTCCTATCTCTACTTGCTTATGGTAAGTGTGTATGTCTCTGTGTAGAAAACTAGGTGGATGGTAATGTTAGTGTGCCTGTTCTGTTTGAGCTCAGAATTAAACAGAATTTTTGAAACTGACCTAATTAGTTGAAGCTAGGTTCACATAGAAAAACCTCTAGCTACAATGGCATGTTTCCTTGCTTGCCTGTCAAAAACATAATTGGCTCCTATAGTTTGCTATGAAGCCTGCAAAGCTTTGATCAGACATAATTTCACGGGCTGAAGTCCCTGTACTTGATGCTGACATACCTGTTCTGAAGCTTGCCAGTTTATATTTTGTTGTTTATAACATAATTGCCACTACTTTTTATGCAGTTTCAGATATTGACAATTTTGCAATGTTTATAGAGCTTTATATATCCTCTTCTAGAGAGAGAGGAGGGGGAAAAGTCAGACACCAACTTTTTGGCATCTTTTCGTTCTAGGATTTACAATACTGCAGGGGGTGAATTGTTGGACATACCATTATTCAGACACAAACATGACCTACAGGGAAGCAGAGCTGTGGTGCAAAAAGAGGTATACTAACATGGTTGCCATTCAGAATAAGGAGGAAATCAACTATCTCAATAACTTCTTACCCTTCAATCCGGGTTACTACTGGATTGGAATCAGAAAAATTAATGAGGTTTGGACCTGGATTGGAACTAACAAAGAACTGACAGACGAGGCAAAAAACTGGGCGTCAGGTGAGCCAAATGGCAAAGGGAACAACGAGGACTGCGTTGAAATCTACATCAAAAGAGGGAAGGATGATGGCAAATGGAATGATGAGCAGTGTGAGAAAAAGAAGGTCGCCTTGTGCTACACAGGTATGGTATGATAAAGGCTGTTCTAGTGTGCCCCTATGGAGATGAGATGGCGGGTGGCATGAGTTGTTTAACCTAGTCTTACAGATTAATCTACCTGACCCTGTAAGCACTTGTATACTTATTCTTACTTAAAGGGCTGAGGTTCTTCTTATTCTAAGAGCTGGATTGATCTCACTTACTTTTTAGCTCCCAGAATATTATACATCTTTTATGAGCAAATCACCAGACCTTCCCTATAATCAGTGGAGAGAAACAGGCTCTTCCAGATGGTGAATTTCATCCCACTCTCAAGTGGGTGTCTCAGCTAGATAAGAATGGCCCTTTTGGAGGCATCTGTCTGCTGACCATAGACCACTGGATTAAATTACACACTTTGTGTAGAGGTGGTTAAGGCTAGGTCAAAAAAAAAAAAATAATCCAAGTCAAGTATCAGTCAAATTAGAGTGGTGCGTTAACAAAGAATGTACCTGTTGAGGACTTCTACCTACCCCATTGTATATTGTTCCTTTTGCATTTTAAATATTGCTAATATCTACCTGAGAACAAGTGGTCATGCAGTTTCCTGCCAGTAGAATCCTTTGACTGTGAGCTATTCTGTCAAAAGTGTTGATTTCTGAAATGCTTCTGTGAAATGACGGAGTAACATTACGTACCAAACACCCTGCTTTTCTTTTGCTACACAAAGTGCTTGTTTGGTGCTAGAAAGATAAACAAAGGACTAGCCAAGTTTCATTAATGGCCATTTCTGAATCTTTTATAATTTGCTGCATTGTTTTCTTTTTTTTTTTTTTTCCCCCAGCTTCTTGCAACCCATCTCTCTGCAGTGGCCGTGGAGAATGCGTAGAGACTATTAACAATCACTCCTGCCGTTGTGACCCTGGATTCTATGGGCCTGAATGCGAGTTTGGTAAGATTACTCCATCCTGCTTTTCAACCAGGGTGATGTTCATGCTACCTAGTGTTCATTTTGTCTGGCTTGTTGATTTACCTGCTCAGCTAATGAGACTGTGTACCTTCTTCTGTTTCTTTGAAGTTGAGAGTTGTGATCCACTGAAGAAACCTGATCATGGGAGCCTTGAGTGCAACCATCCATTGGAGAACTTCAGCTACAACTCATCCTGCACAGTTCAGTGTGAGGAAGGCTATGAACTGACTGCACTGGAATCTGTATACTGTACTTCTTCTGGGGTCTGGTCTGCCCCCCTTCCAGCATGCAAAGGTGAGCTTCTCAAGAAGTGATGGATGAGCTTTCTACATTGTACATAGCTCTGTAAACTCCAGTGTTGCTCTGTTAGTAGGCACAATCTGGCCCATTCCTTTGTAATTAATTACATGGTGAAGGTGCTATTTTATTGCAGCACACAGGTCTCTGCTCCTGAAGAGATGAAATGAGCAGGATGAATGTTCTGGCCCTGGTCTAGGTTTCCTTGTATGGAAAGACTTTTCCACCTCTTAGTGGGGAATAAGGAATGGGCATGATCTAGCTGTGAGACTCCTCAACAGGCCTGTTACTCCTGACTGCAGGAATGATTTTTTTTGAGGTGTTCAGCATAGAATAAGCTACTGTTTGAAGCAAATAAAAGCATCAAACATCACCAAGCAGCAGTCAAATTTTGGATTGTAACTAGTTGCTGTCATGAGCTGCAGATGAATTTACATCCTTGCCTTAAGAGTCAGTTTTCCATTTTGAGATCTTTCCATTCCTATCTCCTTTCTAAAGCTGCTTCCATCTGCTGGATATGTTGCTAAGTTTCAGTAAAGAAAAAAAACTTTTTATGGTTTGTTCCAAGCTGAGCTCTGTGCTGTCTCTTATGCTTTTCAGCTGTGACCTGTCCTGCTTTAGAAATGCCTGCTCATGGTACTGTGAACTGCTCCCATCTCTCTGCGGAGCTCACCTGGGGTACCACCTGTGAATTCACCTGTGAGGAAGGATTTGCCCTGACAGGACCAGCCACACTGCAGTGTGGGTCTTCTGGGGCTTGGGACAGGCAGCAGCCATCCTGTGCAGGTACCTTTCCTTATCCCTGCTCCCCTGAGCACTTGTGGTTGTCAACATTGGCATGCTGAATTCCTGAGACATCTGTGCTGATTGCTGTTATGGTCTGTGTGTTGCAGCTGTGAGGTGTGAGGCTGTAACCTGGCCAGAAGAAGGCTTTGTGACCTGTGACCATGCTCTGGCAGATCTCGCCTATCGCTCGCGATGTGATTTCCGCTGCAGTGAGGGCTATGTTCTGGATGGTCCATCCAGCATTGAGTGCACAGCACAGGGACAGTGGTCAGAGCCAGTGCCAAAATGCAAAGGTAAGACTTACTGGGTTGGAAAATACAGTTTTCTTGAGCACTTGGGGTTGTCAGCATTGGCATGCTGAATTCCTGAGACATCTGTGCTGATTGCTGTTATGGTCTGTGTTGCAGCTGTGAGGTGTGAGGCTGTAACCTGGCCAGAAGAAGGCTTTGTGACCTGTGACCATGCTCTGGCAGATCTCACCTATCGCTCGCGATGTGATTTCCGCTGCAGTGAGGGCTATGTTCTGGATGGTCCATCCAGCATTGAGTGCACAGCACAGGGACAGTGGTCAGAGCCAGTGCCAAAATGCAAAGGTAAGACTTGCTGGGTTGGAAAATACAGTTTTCTTGTCACTGGACAAACTAAACTCTGTGTTGCCTCTCACGTTTTCAGCTGTGACTTGCCCTGCCTTAGAAATGCCTGCTCGTGGCTCTGTCAACTGCTCCCATCCCGAAGTTAAACTAATTTGAAAATAGAGTATATATCTACTAATGCAAAAATTAGAGCTAAAGACAGGAAGGTCCTTAATGACTCTTAACTATTTCTTTCTGTATTTCAGTTGTACAGTGTGAACCACTGAGGTCTCCTGAGAAAGGCTTTATGGATTGCTTACATGGTGCTGGGAACTTCACGTACAACACAGCCTGCTACTTCAGCTGTCTAGAAGGATGGAGGCTCAATGGTTCTCATGTTCTGGAGTGCAGTCATTCAGGAAACTGGAGTGCTAGTCTGCCCACGTGTGAAGGTATTTGACCTGTGACTAGCCACAGAGAGGTGGCACTGAGTTTCTAGTCAAATGAGGTGTGGAAGGGTGGGGGATGTAACATCAACCAGCGAGCTATAACTTCTAGTGAAGCTCATGAATTGAAAAGCCCAACAAAATCTCTTGGTATGTTTTTTGAAAATTTGAAAAATTCCTGAAAGGTCTTGGTGAAAAATGTTGATTTCTTATCCAAAACCAAAAGCCACAACCTGATTTTGGGTTGGATTGTTTTTTAATTAAAATATTTCTCATGTTGAGCTTTTTCTGTATGAATAAAGAAAAAAGCTTTCCTAGGGAAACAACCTTGTAGGGA